GTTCTGTTTGACGTCTGTTGATTTGAATAGTGTGTAATAGTAAACTGTCACTATGAGGACGTCTCTTTTCTCTCCACATTCATACATGCACACATATAAAACTTCAATACAACTAAAGACTATATCCCATATAATCTCTTTCTCTATATAACCTATATAATCCCTTTTACACCTTTTTGCTAGTTAGAACTGTTCTGTAATGTTGTCCTGAGGGATTATGGATGGTAGTTTTGACAAGCAAAACTTAACACAAACGTAGCTAAGAGAACAACTGAACACTCAGCTTTTTGCAGTGTGTTTTAAGCAAGATGAATGCTGCACAACTGAGAAGTAGATCTAACTGAGAAGCTGACAGGACTGCAGTCTGCACTCACTCATGTATTTTAATGAGTTACAAAATGCAGGAGGCCAAAGCTTACACGAGAAACTGGGACTGTGGTGGAAGGTCGCGCCAATAAGCTGAACTCACTTCTGCTCAGTTTATTTCTTTATTGGCTTATTGGTGTGTTACCCTCGCACAACATCAGTGTTTACTAATGTCATAAATCAAGTGAAAAATGGTTAATTTTCAGTAAGATCAGACTTTTGCTACCAAATTAGCCTGACTAGCCATTAGAAAGAATGCAAGTTTCAACTTTATACACAACAACTTCCCATTTAAGTTAACTGCTTCGATCGTTTTATACAGTCTGTGGAAAGCTATGCCATATTTATCGTCTCATTTCAGTCAACATGCAGGAATTATTTCAGTGTATAAAAACCATCTTGTGTTAAGGATCATATGTTAAACTAGACAATACACTTGCATGTGTATGACTAAAATCAGTGAAATTCATCCCACTGAGGAATAATCATAGCACTCCATCAGCTAGGGTTTTTTATTGTGGACTGTATTGGTGAACCTGCTGAGCAACTCTCTATCATTCATATCATTCATTATAAACTAGCAAACAGTATGATTAAGAATAATAAATATTCAGGTTTTAAATGTCTCTGAGTGCTGCAGTGCCTGTTTTGGTGGCTGTAAAACTATTTTATACACTTTTCAGTCTTCCTAGAACTAATAAAGCATTGATCTGGGATACTAAATGAACACTAGGCATACCAACCTGCTTTTAAGTTATATGTCTCTGTTTAAAACAAAGCACAGTCAGGTTACTTAAAGCTTAAAGATCCCCTGAAGCCTGAATGTAAATAATTTAGAAAAGCAGTGGGTCTCTGTGCTCTGCTTGGTATGTGGTGGCTGTAAACGGTGCGCTCTTTCGCGGGGCAATCTTTAGGTGAGAGAAAGGTGGAAATAACAGCTGGAAGCTGGAGTGTGAATTCATTTGTAGGCAGGTTGAACTCTTCTTCCACTAATAGAAAGAATTTGATCTGGCGAGGAAAAAAAAAAGTCCAAGTTTTTCTCCCTCATGGACTTGTGAAAGGATTTATAAGGTAAATACTAGTTGTGAATGACTGCATTGCATTACGCAGAATGTTTCAGAGTCTGATTTGCACTTTTTCATAAGCTACAATTCAACAGCTGGAACATAAACCCAGTTGAGAGTGTTTCTAGTACTGTATCCCCCTTTGTGTCTTCTTATGCAGGAATAATACTTGTTCTTGAGCAGCTCTTTCATTACCTCTAAAGTGACACTTTGATTTTGAGCTCTGAGGGTGCTTCTGTCTGAAAGTTGCTGATATTAAACCCTTTGCCTGGTATCAGGAGCCCCTAAAGCAGCAGACAAGAGCTTTCAACCAGCGGCTCAAACACCTCATGCACTTAAGGTTGCCAGGTTATTGTTGCCCCTAGTTATCAAGGTGGTTTGTGGGGAACATACTTCCTGAAATGGGAGTTCCAGTAGTTCTGTCAACCTGATGAATATCATGCTGCTGGCAGGAGCCTCACAGAGCAGAAAACTCAATTTATTTCTTCCCTATTTGTTTTCTGTTTCTGTTTCTGTCTCTTTCACTCACTCTCTCTGCATGTTTCACTTAGTCTTTTCTTTTTTTAACTCTCCCCTGACATTTGCATTGCACATGCTTTCCTGTTAAATGCAAATCAATCTGTTTTCTCTGTCTGTGCTCTGGTTCTCACAGGTGGCACAGGAGGAAGCAGCTACAGCACGGTAAGTAAGCGCTCCTTCTGTTCCATTACTGTAAAATGCACTATTGTTTTATATTTGAGAGGCAGAACTGAAGGTTAGGTGTGATTATTATGTCTTTTATGGTTTTTGAAGTGACTTGTGAGAAATGTGTATATATGTTTGGCTGCCAATGTAAGATAAAGTGTGACTGCTTCGTTTGACTTTAGGCCATGATTAAAAATAACTAAATTTGATTTCTGCTAATGTTTTAGTAGCAGTTATAAGCTGTTTGTACTTCATATGATTGTTTCATTGAATATTACTTCTAGCCCCTTCTTTGAAAGGGAAATAATAATATTTTTTTACTCTTTAAATAAACTCTAGTTGCCCTAAAAATAAGTGACAGTGTACTTTTATCTCCTAATGGAACATGTAGAAGCAGGACACAAACATTTAATGAACCTGAAAAACCCTGTCCTATAAAGGTATAGTATCATGTTATGATGCACTGTGCATCTAATCGAATCCCATTTAGTTCACTGTTGAACCATCAAACATACAAATATATTTTTTATAAAATATTTGTGTCTGCCATCTAGATGCTTGCAGTCAGAGTACCTAGAGCAGTGTTTCAGCAAAGATTTATCAAGTTTGGTCCACTCGTCTAGGAGGAGATAAGGAACATACAAACATGCAAAAATAGATACATATGCTAGGATCGTTATTTTACGATAGCTGATGAGATACTGTGGTAAAATATGTTTCGGAAGAAGTATGCGTTCTTGTGGAGCTAGTTTATATTATTATGGCTGCCTTTATTTTCTATTAAAGTTAACACTTATCTACTTAAAGTTACATAATAGTGTCTTATAAACTTGGTGGTGTATCATAAACGTCTTATATACTGGTTGTTTACAGCACAACCAGTATATAAGAAAAAAAAGCTTTAAATAAAAACACATTAAAACCAGATAAAGTAAAGTGAGTAATATTCATCACTTGGCAAGGGGTATGTAATGAGTAGGACGTCTCTGGCAGATGATAGGAAATTATACAAATGGTTGGCTTTAAATAGGGCCAAATGACTAGAATGTACATACAGCTGTTAGAAAAATGTATTTTTCACAGGACTCTATACAGACCTGCAAAAATGTAAGTATTGCTTCCAGAGGATTTAGGGAGGTATGTCACAGCCAGGTGCTGATAATCAAATGACCTTGTCTAATCGATCATCAGCATTTGTGAGCCTCTCTGGAAAAGTGGAGGCTTTGGCAGTTTGCTGGTCTCAAGCATTCAGGTGTGTGTTTACAAAATGCTGCGTTCTTCAGTAAGTGGAGGTTCCAGCAAATTCACCCCAAGGTCAGACAGTACAATACTTCTCAGACTCTACAGGCCTCAGTTAGCATGTTAAATGTTAAAGTTCATGTCAGTACAATTAGATATAGACTGAAAGAACTGTGAGTTGTTTGGAAAGCCTCTTCACTCTAAAAAGAAGAGCATGGCTAAGGTTTGCAAAGCTGCATCTGGACAAACCACGAGGCTTCTGGAACAATGTCCTTTGGACAAATGAAAACATCATCATATTTGGGTCATGCAACGAGACAATGATCCCGAGCCCTGAAGCAAATCTACAAGAGAGTGGCTGAAAAAGAAAAGGTGTTGCAACCTGATGGAAATGCTGTGGCAAGGTGTCAGCAGAGCTGTGCATAATGCAAAATGCCCATAAACCTCAATGAACTGAAGCAACACTTCAAGATAAGTGAGCCATATTTCCTCCCCAACGATATGAAACACTGTTAAAGCCGTACATACTTCAAGTCATTGCTGCCAGAGGTATTTCTACAAGCTACTGAATCCTGGGGTGTACTTATTTTTTCATACGAAGATAAAATTCTAATCACAAGTTATTTTGTGACCCTTTGAAACACAAAATCCCCCACCCCCACCCCCCACCCACCCCAGGAGCAACCCTTATAGCAGGTAATTGTTTAGTCCCCAGATGGACTAAACAATTACCTGCTATAAGGGTAAAATAGGAATTAGTTTGTCTGCAACAATAATCTGATAATTTCTTTTAATTTATTTGTAGACTCTAGTATCATCATCATCATTGCCTGCTTAATAAAACAGCAGAATGTTATTGGCAAAATAGCATTAAGATAATCATCGCAATAGTCGTATCAAATAAGGAAAACAGCTGACTTTTTATCACAAGTTCCTCCTTTTAACAACTGTTTCCTTCACACATGATTACTTAAGACTTAAGCCCATGTTAAATAAAAATTTTATGCTGTAATTTGCTGTAAAAGTCAGCTGTATTCATACAAACAATGTGACTGCTGTCCTCCTTTTTTATACCATCAAAACTCAAGATGATTTCAGCACTTTTAAGACAAAGTAGCACAAATAACAGAAGCTTTGGAAGGGCAGTTTACCAAACATTAATGGACCTCAAGAGCCTGGAAGTGGATGCATGGATTCCTCCTAGCCAGCAGAGTAAACACAGCTCAGGCAGGCACAATCGATCCATCAGTTTCTCACAAACATGCAAACGTACCACAACATGCAAAAAAGTGTCCTACGCATCTGACAAAGTAAAAAGTGAAAAAATAACACACTTACACACACAAACTCTGAAGCAACAATAACATCATTTTGTATCTTTCTTCAGCTTTAAGTTAAGTTGAGGGATGATCAGGGGAGCAGCGGTCTGACACACACACAAACACACACAGAGAGACACACACTGCACAGCAGCTCACAGAGCCCTTCTCCTTAAATGGTCAAAGCTCCCAGGAGTGAAAGAGAGGCTGCTGCTGAAAAAAGACAGGGAACAGAGGGGACGGGAGAAGGAAGGAGAAGCCCTGAGGGTTGAGGAGTTTTCTGAAGGAAAGGCTGAGGGTGACGCTTTGACTGTGGGAAGTCGGTCTGACTTGGAGAGATCAGCCGCGGTGTGTGTGTGTGTGTGTGTGTGTGTTTCTCTCTACAGCACTACAGCACCCGACTCAGGTAAGGTGCATGCTCTCTGTGGACAGGTTTAGATGATCGGCTGGTCACAGTGGACTATCCACAGCGGTGGACGCATGCAGTTTCAGTTTAGTTATGGTCTCTGCAGCCTTAACAAACATGTGCATGAATATTTGTGGGTAAATGATATTCTAGATAACTGTTGGTGTGAGTTTACATAAAGTGTTTTTTGTTTGCATGTGAAACTCTGTCTCATGTTTCCTGCGCCTTCATATGTGACCATGCATTTTCTGAAGCCTGTGGATTTAGTCTGCTCCCTCATTCAATCCATTTTTTCTTTCTGACACTTCCTCTGACTTGTTATCTCAGATTGCGACTGCGTGGTAACCACTTCCTCTGTTGGCCCTGTGCTCTATGCTTCACACAACCAAATTTTAAACAAATCTGGCTAGAGGGAATGAGCTTATGTAACAGGAGGAGGGGAGCAGGATGCCGGTCCTTATTTCTCCCTCCACAGAAAAAGTGACCACTAAAGTACGCTGCAATATGAAGCTTCCTCATGAAATCAACAAGTACTTTTGTTTTACTTCTCTTTGTGCAAGTAAAGGAAAGAAGTCTTTAACTATTGCCACTCGGGCCCCTGTGTTCTCACCCCCCCTTTGCAGGAAATAATTAGAGTGATTCAGTTACTATGCAATATTTATCTCAGTCTCACGGTCTGCTGAAGAAACACCACACCATTTAACCTCCTGCAGAGTAGGTTGACTTTGTTTGGGCTTCTTCTTAGAATTCCTCTTGGTCCCTGGGTCTTGGACCCAGAGTTTTGAGTTTCTAGGGTGCTTGGGATTTTCTGGTTTTGTATTTCTGATAATCTTGTATTTGGGGTTTATATATTTTATATTTTATATCACCTTTTGTAATCCCTTTCTGTTTCCCCAGTCGGATATGTCCCCATGTTTGTTTATATCCTGTTCCTGTTTCAAGTTCACATGTCGTACTCCTGGATTGAGTGGTTGTTATTTCCTGTTTTATTTTGATAGTCCCTTGTCCCCTTTGTGGTGTGTTTAGTTTTGCTTCCCCTTGTCTCATTAGTTGGATTCTGTTCGCCTGAGTCTTGTTTACCTCAGCTTTCTTGCTCCCTAATTACCTGGTGTGTATTTATGTCCACAGTTTCCTTCTGCTCTTTGACATGTTCTCCCTCATGTGTTCTCAGTAAGATTCCTTGCCATGGCTTATTTGTTGCTGAGCAACTTTAGTTTGTATTTTTATTTCCATTTGGATCCTACTTTGCCTGCCTCACAGCGAGCCTTAACAAAAACATAATCATGTTCAAATTCTTTGTCTAAATATTTCTGTCCATAATTAGAAACAAATCAGGTTATGGCTGAATAAAAAATCTTTGCACAAAATTAAATAGTTTCATGAGTTCAGTAAGTTCAAGAGCAGTTAGCTAGAAATAACCAGTAGCTCATTTGTGAGTAACTCAGAAGGACCTCAAACTTGTTTTTTTCTTCTAAATTTATAAATAGCACCTGAAGACTTAAGACAGTTAATTACAGAATTAGAAAAAAAAGAAGATAAAAACGTCCTGGCTCTCCTCAAGAACAAAGCAACCAGTATCTGTCTAACTCTTTTCTGCCAAAGTGAAATATCGCTTTAAAGTATAAAAACATCTGTTTTAAATGCTTCCGTCGCATATGACAGTGTCCCTGCATTCAGGAAACGTCCTTGCTGCTCGCAGGGAGGAGTTAAACAACCCATTTCCTCCCCAGTGACTCACAGCCTTTCTGTCCCCATATGTTCCCAAGATCTTGTCATCTTTGTGATGACACTGAGCAGCACTCAGCATATTTTGTCCTTGAATTCTCAGAGGATTCGTCCATCACACGGCCACATGCCATACCTCTGAAATAACCATTCATTCATCACACCTTCCACTTTCCTGCGCATATTATTCAAAGCTGCTGCACGTGATTTGAAAGAGAAGGCAGTAAGAAGGCTCACATCTGTGCTGATTGGACCTATGTAAATTTCTCTTTTTCTGGTGAAATCAAATGAATGTGTGCGTCACATTAGCACACACAGGAGTTGTGTAGATCATGAGTGCACTGTGCTCCTCCGCAGAGTGGTTTAAAAATACAGTACATTTGATTTGCATAAATTTGTTACTGAAAAGGGAAGCGCTGTGTGTTCAAACAATGGTTCAAACAAGCTGCACGCATCAAGTCAGGTTGGCTTGTAGCTCAGGGAGCCAGGTAACTGCTGCAGTGTCCATGGTAAAGATCAGCTCAAACAGCTCAGACCTGAAACAAAGAAATTATTATTTTTCCAGTGTGAACATCAGATGTGGTGATAATGTGGTTTTGTTACATTTTTGTTTGACTCAATAAGACAGCACTTTGAACGCTGTAAAATGAATACATGGTGGTTTTTAAAAGTCATTTATTGAGAATTGATTAATAGTTTTGTTGTTTTCACATGTACCACTATGATATATACTGAATCAAACAGCCTTGTTTTCTTCTCTTAATAAAATATTCTACATGTTGCACATTTGCAGGAGCCGCATCATAAATTTTGATTACACAGCTTTTACAGCTTCAGCTTTGATGATTACACTAATCTTTGCACTCGTTTAAATTCATGTTCGCTGATCGTTCCCTGCTCTTTGGGTCTTATCTTGGGGCCAAGATTATTTAGATTTTTATATAATTGGCAAATTTGAGGCATTTTTCTCATTTTCATTCTCCTCAAAACTAAATCCTGCTTCAGTTTGTTTGAAGTTGGCTTTTTCCTCTTGATGCTGCCCATATGTTGTTATATCTCTGTGTATTTTTCACACTTACATGTTTTAGATCATCAAAATAATTTTAATATTAGACAAAGATATCGGCACGGTGGTGAAATGGTTAGGTCTGCTGCCTGGGTTCTCTCTTGGTACTCTGGCTTTCTCCCATAGTCCAAAAACATGCATGAGCTTAGATTGATTGGTGATGACTGTAAATATGAAAGGTTGACTGTATCTATGTGTTGACCCTGCACCAGACTGGCTTCCTGTGGCAGCTGTGATAGGCTCCAGCTGTCTGATCTAGATAAGCAGAAAAGATGGATGGACAAAGATAATCCGAGTGAATATGAAATGTAGTTTTTAAATGGTGATTTAATTTAATTAGGAGAAAAAATTATTACCCTGGTAACTGGCCCTGTGTGAAAAAAGTAAATGCCCCTAGTCAAATCCAAGCTTGGCAGCAAGAATTGCAATCAAGTGTTTGCAATAGCTGCCAATGCCAATTTTACATCGCTGTGGAGGGGGTTTGGCCCAATCTTCTTTGCAGAATTGTTTGAATTCAGCCGCATCAGAGAGTTTTTGAGCCTTAATGGCTTCGACTGTGACTAGGCCACTCCAAAACCAGAGGTGGACCACTAAAACGTTTAACTTTTGTCTCAACAGTCTATGAATATTTTCCCAAAAGTCTTGGGAATCATCAAGATATTTTTTTCACAAATGTCAGTTGAGCCCTTCTGTTCTTTTTGCTCAGCAGTGATTTTCTCCTTTGATGCCATTTTTTCCAAGTCTCTTTCTTATTGTTGAATCATCAACTCTGACATTAACTGAGGCAAATGAGCCCGGCAGATCTTTAGATGTTCTTCTGGATTTTTTGTGACCTTCTGGATGAGTTGTCAATGTGCTCTTTGGTTGGCCAGCCACTCTTTAAAGGGTTCACGACTATTCGGGTTTTCTCCATTTGTGAATAAGTGAATAATAAGCTCTCAATGTGGTTCACTGGAGTCCCAAAGCCTTAAAAATGGCTTTGTCATACTTTTCAAATAGATAGACTTTGTTTCTCAGCTGATTTTTAGATCCTGGTATGATGTGGTGTTTCTTGAGATCTTTTACCCTATTTTACTTTGTCAGATAGGTTCTAGTTAAGTGATTTCTTGATCTGGCAGTAATTAGGCCTGGGTGTGACTAGTGAAACTGAACTTGGCTTAGTCTTTTTTAATAATTGCAACTGCAAGTAACATGGGTAACTTTTATCTAATATTAGTTTTTTTGATGATCTGAAACATGTAAATGTGACAAATATGCAAAATTTAAAAAGGAAAAAGGCAAATACTTTTTCGCAGCACTGTATAATTTTAGTCAGGAAAGCTTTAATTAATTGACTTTGATTGCCTTCATGTGAATGAGACATGAGTCTCTTCCTCTCAGTAATCCTCCATCCACCATCCACTAAATCATTTTTTCATAATTTATCCAGAAGTCCTTCTGTTTGTTTTGCGCTGCCCCTCGGGAGCTCGTTGCCTCATTCAGCCTGTGAGAGCAAGTTAAACTGACTGTAGCAGCGTTTTATAACAACAAAGCGCATCCCAGTCACTGTTTGTGTTCAAAACAGTAACCGCCTGCTGAAAGTCACAGTGTGGGAAGAAAAGCACATGAAACATTGCAGGCTCACTCGTGAGCAGTGCTTGTTTGTGATTTCAGTCACTTGTGCTGTAAAGCAGAGATGCTGCATGTTGTTTCTTTTGAATTTAGACAGCGTGTCATTAAGATCATGAACCAGACAAAGAAGGATTTCTTTTTTTTTAAGTGTTTCATGGTGTAGTGGTTTACGCATTTGCCGAACAAGCAACAGCTCTCCTGTTCAATCCTGGAAGCAGACAGGAATGCCTTTGGTGTTGCTTTAGGAAAAGCATCTGATATAAAAATCTACCAAATCGAAAATGCAGAGCTACCCACTGTGGTGACTCTGTGTGAATAAGGAAGCATTCCTTGAAGTCTTGTTGCTCCTGTTAAAACTCCCAATATGAACTCCTGGCATGTTTCATGTTATTTTATTCTCTGACGCTTCCTGATGCTCTGACTGGAAATCATCATGCTCACATGAAAGTTTAAAACCCATACATACGATGTGAGTCATGGTGATTTCATTTCTGACGCGTATGTACAGTATGCTGGGAAATCTCACTAATGTGCAGAATGGAGCTATTTTGGGAGTTGTTTGTGCAGTGCAATGGTTTTCTTAGTTCTGGTTTATCCTTTTTTTTTAGCTGTGGTTAGGCAGAAAGAAAAGTGGCTAAAGTACTAGTTTAATAACTGCTGCTGATCGGAAGGAGCTCTCCTCAGCATGCCTCTAATCATGCTTAAAATGCATGTATTTGGTTTTCTGTGTGTTTATAGCTCCAGGAAGAAGAGCGAGACTTGCTGCAAACATCTCCTCTCGAACAAAGTGACTGTAACTTCAAGGAGTCCGGTGACGCCTCGCCTGCTGCTGAGACCCCTTTTGTTTTCCCGCACACCCGCTCTCGCCCTTCTCTGCACCCGGCCATGCCCACACTGCCTGAGGAAGAGGAGGACTCTCCAGAGGAGATGGACAGTTCCCCGAGCTCTCCCAGCACAGTAAGTGCAGCTGCTGTCCCAGTTTGATATTCTGTTTTTAGGTAAAACATCTGACTTCATACTTCATTTGGCCCTGAAAGGAATTTTTTTTTTTATCAATGTTGAGTTTTCCCTCAGAAAAAAGTTCCTTCACTGAAGAAGTCACTGACTCATTCCTTTTCAAGTGAGAGCGAAGCAATATTTTCCTTAACTAAGTCTTCTTCTGTCACAAATGTTCCCTGCTGTTGTCAGACCAAGGCAGTGCTTTGCAAAGAATGACAGAAGTTAACAAAGTGAAATTTTGGCAACTGATTTGGTACATACTTTCCTTTTTTTGCACTCATGTTTTAGTTATTTCCCACTAAATGTTTGGAAATGAATTTCATTCCGGTGACTGATGAATGCTTTACGATTCTTTGAAAGTCACTTCGGCTGTCATAATAACTTTCCCTGAGCCAAGGTAAAGTGAGGTGTTTAAAAAAGGGTAAAAGCTGCTTTTACGTTTGCACAGCAGGATTTTTTTTACTATCTGACAAATACCTTGGCTCTGTAAAATATCTGCTTCATGTCCCTTGTGACAAATTTGAGCCCTTTGGTTAGATGGGGAAAAGCAATTTACCAACTTTTAAAAGAAAATGTTGCTCGCTGTGAGGTCACATAGATCAAGGCCTCAGTCATTTTTATATCTAAAATTACTTATGAAGCTAAATACAACAGGATAAAAAAAAAACATGCTTAAGAGCTTCTTCAGGGAGACAAGTCCACTCAGGTTTATCAGAGTTGGACTGGGCTCTCAGGTTTGGAGCCATGGTTTGAGTTCCCGTTCAATGACCACATCCTCTATCTGTTTAATGTCTGTTTAATGTCACATGACTCCCCTACCCCACCCCCACCAGCTAAACATCACTACTTTAAATGATATTGTGTTTAAAACACCAGAGTTTACTGCATTTTTCTGTGACATCAGTAGCATTTCCTGTCCTGATCCCTGTGATTGGTTATGTTTTGGGGGGGTTTGTTCTTAATTGATCTGTCTGAGTTATTAGTTTTTTCAGTATTTATGGCATAGAGATTAGCACTGTTGGCTGACAGGAAGAATATCCTGGGTCTTTCTCTGTGGAGTTTGCATGTTCTCCCCATGTCTGCGTGGGTTCTCTCTAGCTACTCTGGCTTCCTCCCAAATTCATAGACATGCAGTTAGTGGGATTAGGCAAACTGGCCATAGCTGTGAACGTGAGTGTGAATAGTTGTCTGTCTCTCTGTGTTAGCCCTGTGATAGGCTGGTGGTGATGGTAATGGTAATAATCAGAAGTTTTATCTGTGTGCCATTTGAGCGATCTCACCCTTGAAATATATAAAGATTAGAAATGCTTTCAAAGACTTTAAGGACAGATCTTAATGGGGCAGACTCCGAGTTTGAGTCATTAATTATCCCAGAGATAATAAAGAGTTAAACAGGCTAAACCTCAGAGAACAGTGACCTTTACCTCATAAACACACAAGCTAGATAAGAAATCTCTGAAGAAAGTAATGAAACTGTGTAATATAATCTTCAGTGCATAAGTCAACACTATAAAAGTATCCACCCTTATAGGAACAGAGCCACGGTGAATCAGCAGCCTGTCTGCAGCAGAAAGACTCCTTTTTCAAGAATCTATTGCAAAGATAAGCTTTAAGAGCACCTCTCAAAGAATAAGGGTTTCATGTCAGTCTGTATTTATTTGCGTACTTACCTTTAGCAGCCTTTTGAAGCTATTCCACAATAGTGTTCATCATAACCTACTAGAGGTGACAGACCTCTTTGTGCTTAAGTGGGTCAAATCAATATTCTCCTGTTAGTGCCAGATTTAAACTGGTTTGTTGAAATTTGGCTCTTTTTTTGTTTTTTTGGAATATGTAGTTTAAGGTTTAAGTTAATGTTCAAAATCTACCTTTAACCCTTTTATTGTGTAAGTTCAAGCTTAATTTAAAAAGATCTGCTCCTTATTAAGGTTGTGTTTAATCTAATATCACAAACTGGCTGATGTGTTAAGCGATGCACACTTAAGTTTTTTTGTGTTGCATTGCACAGTTAGTACCAGGTGAAAGTCGAGCTGTTGTCATGACTGCGCCCACCATCGTCTACCCAAAGCAGGCTAAGGTTGTCCATCAGGATGGGCGTCCGCTGGAACAGGCCAGGTAATCGTCCAGTAGCTTTCTCAATTTTAATTTGAAACAGAGACAGTATTTCCAGATCATCACAGTTTTCTCTCTCAGACCACACAGTCCCAGAGCTCGCTTGGTCAGAAGCTCCCCCGGGGTGCCCATCACCACAGTTGGTGGGTAAATCACACAAACACACATACATCACTGTCGTTTTTACAGTGTTATGATGTAATAGTTATTATTTGATGTAGTGCAGCACCATATAAAAAATTTCCACTTTATTTTTAAGTGTTTTTCCATAACTAAACCGTTCTTAGGTAAACATTTTTAACACTGTCAAATCGCGACTTCTCACAGTGACTTTTTTTTATATAAAAGATATTTAGTATAGTTTGGCTAAATATATAGTTTTGATATAGTTTTGTTGAAAGACCTGTCCAGCGATGTATAAAGATAAATTAATGTTCTCACTGTGCGTGGATACACAAGAACTCTTACAACATTAAGACTAAGTTTGGTCATCTGCATCCTGAGACTCACACATGCTTGAAATGCTTTTGGCGCTTTGATTACTTTTGATGTTTAGCTTGTTGCCCGTTTCCGAGAAGAGGAGACGATAAAATCATCCCCAAGTTGGCGAGCACTCATCACCTGATTTCCTGGCTCATATCCGTCCGTGAATTATTCCTTGCTTTGAGATTTTAGACCAATGAATCCCACATAAATACACTTGAGACACAGCTGCTCCGATACAACAGAGCATACACTTTTGATCTGATATATTTTGAAGCCTAATTTTGTGTTTTGTTTTGTTTTTTACGGCATATTATCTGCTTATATTTTGGTACCAGGAACAAGCAGAAATTTTACGGGTCTGTGTGCATTTGTGTGTCACGTGTGTATTATCTTTCTCAGACAGCACAGGTAATGTGATTGACCTGGTGAAAGATCCGCTCCCGGAGCTGCAGCTCTCCGAGGAGGATCGACAGAAGAACCTGGAGCTGCTTGAAGAGGCCAAGAAGGTCAGCGATCGCTTCCTGACACGCCGAGGCCGGCGATCCACCAGCAGCCTCACTGATTCGCCCACAGGTAGCGCGCACGCACAAACATACACAAACATAGAAACTAAAACATTGCACATAGATTTATGAGTGTGAAGCTGGTGTCTGAGCGTTTCATTTAAATTAAAGATGTTTATAGCTTCAATTTTTATTTCACAACCCCGCTACCTCAGGTCTTTCACCGACTCCAACGCCATCATCCTCACCGTGTTCATCGAGAAGCAGCTCACTTACTGTGGCCCCTCAGACCGGTGTGTGCTTTCTGTCTCATGTCTGGATTCTTTGGATTTATTAACAATAAACTACACTCCTCTTTTTTAACCTTTTTCCTAATTTGGCGTCATTTTTTCACTCCTTGAGTTGGTGAAGATGATTTGTAAGTTGTTTTCTGCTCTTTCAGCAGCAGGACCCTCGGAGACGATCCAGGTAAAGAAACTGATCTCACTGTTAAACAGCTTTCACCCACAGTGGTGTGAAGTATGACATGTTTGCCACATTTGGCTCTTTTTGTGTGTGTTTTTTTAAATGTTCCTCTATTTAATTTGCTTTATATGAAGTGGAACATTGTCTCTGGAAAAAAAAAACAGAACAAAACAAAGAAAAAAAATCACCATTGGGCAAATTTTAATCAGGTTAGTAAATTTTAACAGAAGAAAGTTGTTATTATCTCTTGTAGTATCAGGAGGTGTTTCCAGGGAGGGAGCAGCCTGATGCAACCAGCCAGAACCAGGAGGTACGATCAACAGGCTTACTGTGTTTTTTTTTATTTACACACCAAAACTCAAATGTCAAATGTGACGAGGAAAAACACAACTGATCATTGGAAGATTCAAAACGCCTCCCTGTGACCTTTGTCAAGATTTATTATGTTATTCTCAGGTATATATTATAAGTTGTCTGTTGTCTGAATTTCACACCAACCTCAGCTGTGCAGTCATGTGAAAAAGAAACACTTCACAGGACTCTATGCAGTCCTGATTCAGTGGCTTGTAGAGACGCCTCTAGCAGCAATACCTCGAAATCTTTATCTTTATCAGTCTCTCACAGCGTTGTGGAGGAATTTTGGCCCGCTCTGCATCACATTGCTTCAAGTTTGTTTGGTAATGATGAGTTCTTTGAACTCAAGGTCACGGTCAGAGGTCACATCTTTGAAAATCTCTTTGAATTCAAGATTCAAGAGCTTTATTGTCAATACAGTAGTATACACAGTATACAGTGTACCAAAATGCTGTTTCACCCTAAGCCCCACCCCCACGGTCCATTTATAAATATATAAAGGATATATCTCCAAGAGATATAAAACTAGGAATTACAAATAAATAACATGCTAAGTAAGAATTAAGAGATAAAAAGGTACTAATTACTAACTATACAATTCTATGCAATACTAATGCATGCAATGAATGCAACAACTCAAAAAGGGAGTCAGCTAGAATTTTAACATTTGTGCCATATGTGTATTCACTAAGAGGCGGAGGGATTGCACCGACAGCCTCCAGGTTTTCTTTAGGTTCTCGGAGTGTTGCACGGCCTAAGCTCTGCACTGGGACGTCCACTCCTGGAAAAACTGTGGCATTGTGTTAATAATAAACTAATAACAAACTAATGAACTGACAAAGCTTCTGCTTTTATAGAGGTGCTCACACTTGCTGATGATCAGTTGATTAAGTGTATTTAATAATAGCACATGGCTGCTGCTTACCTTCTTAATTCCTGTGGAAGCAGTAAGGGTATACTCAGTTTTTCACAGGACAGTATACTCTGAATCTCAGCTTCTAACTATTAGTTTGTCCTCACAAGCATGCTGTAGTGCTACCCTAGCTTCTCTTATGAAGCACCAACATGTCCAACTGGAGTGTTATCCAACCGCTTTAATGCCTGATGAAATGCACATACAGTATTTCTCTCATATCTTGCCAACTTTAGGGAAAGCTGTTGGTGGACTGGAAGTTAGCTGACAAAAGGAAAGTGTCCTCGGGGACTCTCACACCTCGTTTTGCTGTTCAGAAAAACGGTGAACCCAAGAGTCCTACAGTTGTCAACAAATCAGACGAGTCAAATCGAAGTCCAAACCAGGCTCCAGCCACAGGGGTCGCCAAGCCTGTGCCCAGACCTTCTACTCAACAGGCACCGTGTACAGCAGAGATTAAGACTATTGGGGCCTTTCCACCACTAATGAGAGCTGTTTCCTGGGATGCTGTAGGCAGTCTTAACTCTAGAAATGGAGCCCCGGTTTTCCCTTCAGAAACTGAGGACAGTTTCTCAGACAAGCCCAAGGATGCTGGCTTAAAGACTTCAGGGTACAAGGATTTCCCCACCCCACCGGTGGGTGCACAGAAGCTGTCTAAACTCAGAGAGGTAAAGCAGCAATTCAGCCTTATTGTTATCATTTCCTCTTTTTATGTGCCAGCTGTCCATTTGGTAGAATGTTGTAACAATTATATAAAAATGCCATAATGTTTTGTGTGTGTGTGTGTGTGTGTGTGTGTGTGTGTGTGTGTGTGTGTGTGTGTGTGTGTGTGTGTGTGTGTGTGTGTG